ATGCTTTATTACGAGCACTTGCATCCAAATAAACCGTTACAGCTGATCGTTACCAACAGTAATTATGCCGAATGAGTAACGAATTGATACATAAAAGGCTATTTGTGGCCAATAATCGACGCACAGTCATTTTTTGCACGATAACGCTCGACCGCATGTTGCGAAAGCGTGAAACTAATATTTTTACAGCTTGAATGGGAAGTCCTCCCACCACCAGCGTACTCTCTAGACATGGCACGGTCGGATAACCATCTTTGACGGTCGATACAACACGCACGTAAGGACACACATTCCTCTACNATATTCATGGGCATAAATCCTTGCTCTGCATTTGGTGGGACCAGAATGGTATGCTTTATTACGAGCACTTGCATCCAAATAAACCGTTACAGCTGATCGTTACCAACAGTAATTATGCCGAATGAGTAACGAATTGATACATAAAAGGCTATTTGTGGCCAATAATCGACGCACAGTCATTTTTTGCACGATAACGCTCGACCGCATGTTGCGAAAGCGTGAAACTAATATTTTTACAGCTTGAATGGGAAGTCCTCCCACCACCAGCGTACTCTCTAGACATGGCACGGTCGGATAACCATCTTTGACGGTCGATACAACACGCACGTAAGGACACACATTCCTCTACACACTTCTCCAGTTACGAAGATGTCCAACCGAAGAAGGCCATTAGAGTTGGTTTAGTGTAGACGTAGGTAGCATAGATTCGATTCATATCCTTTGCCTTTCGGAGGTACAATATCGCCATAGCTTCACTGCGCATATAACCAGTACCAGAAGCATCAAATGGCTTGCAATAACCATCACTGGAGAGAACGCCTTAAATTGTTGAATTGATTGATAATAACAGCAATTCCAAAAGTTCTTGCCGTTATAATGTTTAGATGCAAATGAACAAACAGGTTCTTAAGTATAACTTTACCGAGTTGAAAAAATTGCAACTTAAGGTTGGGATGCAGACAGATGTTGGCGCCCCCCACGATAGCCGCGTCGCATTCTCCACTTCGTATCATTCTGTAAGCTTCCGCCATGGCATAGTGGCTTGAACTGCAAGCCGTATCCAAGGTATAAGATGGTCCATCAAGGCCTAACCAGTTAGAAATGCTGTTGGCTAACCAGTATTTACTACATCCAACAATTGGATATCCAGCTGTCTAATCACAAATAAAGATGCGATATCATGTAAATTTTTCTCAAGCATCTTTCTCTCTGTATTGCATGCGTATATAAAAAATCCCAGGATAGCCGAATATTTCCACTACATAGCCGTTTATATAACCACGATAAAGTTTAAATAAAAGTTGTTTAAATATATTTTATACTTGTAACATTATTATCATATAAAATGCTTCGTTTATGAAATATTCAACCGACCGAAATATCTTTATTAAATATTTTAAATATCGTTAAATATTTTACTTGAGGCCTGTAATAGGTAATTATGTTTCTTGTCGTAGAGTAACATGATCCTATAAAGACACCGGTTTTTGTTCCTCTTAATTCTTTAGGATTTACACCGGCATCAATAATTGCTTCGTAGGTATGTTCAAGCAACATCCTGCACATAGGATCAGTGGCGTGCGCTTCCGAAGATGTTATGTTGAAAAATTGCGCGTCGAACTTCTGTTCATGGTTAATAAGTCCCGATCGAGTCGGCATATCGTAATGAACTGTTAAAATTACGGATATTTACTTTATTATACTTAGTATATAATCGATTGAATTTCTCAAAAAGCAGCAGAGGATTAATATTTTCACTTTTGAAATTTTATGCGAATAGTAGA